TGTCCCTTGGGCATAGTTAGGTACAGTCATCCACTGGCCAAATAAACAAAAACTCCTGAATTATTTTACTGGGCTATAAACAAATGACTCACCAAGAATGAAGCGTTCTCTCAAAACTCACCACAGGTGTTTACACCTTAGACACAAGGTCTACAGAATAACAACCAGGGATTACAGCGGATCAGACTCTGGAAATAAAAATTATTACTGCAAGACAAGCCAGCCTTATCACGAGACGTAGCAACAGGAAGCTGTAAGAAACCAGGTTTTAGTAAGAACCAGAGTAATCCAGTTTTGGATGGCCCATACCCTTCAGTAGTTCAACCAGAGTCTAGAGAAAATTGGTCAATATGAAAAAGCTTCGAACCAGAAGAATAATCCTGCACTGGGACTAGGGAAGCCAGGGAATCTCCATCACTGAAGGCTAAGAATGGCCTTTGCCAGCAGATCCATCCCAAAACATACCCTGTGCTCCAGGGATCTCATTCTGTAAGGCAGGCAGAAAGTAGGGGAAAACAAATATGGAAGTGATAAATAAAATCATTTTTAAAGCATCCAGCTGATTGCTAATGTGGCTAGGTCATCCTGACATCAGGATGTTATTTTCTTGCTATAACTGTGGTTCCATATGCAGTTCAGCCACTTGCTTTTTGATGTGTTTGAAATGTTCCACAAGGGAAATCTTTGATTCAACTCCCCCCACCCTCACGGGATTCAATACAAGTGTTAGTCCCTATCTTGATTTTCCTATTCTTCTTCCAATTTGCAAGAAAACATCCTGAACTGATTGAACAGGCACTAATTACCGCTTAAAATCTGTTCCTCATCCATTTCACACTTTTTTTTTTTTAAATATGGTTTGGAAGAAGGAAAAAAAAATCCCACCAATTTTACCAAGGCTTTTAGCTGCATCAAAATAATTAAACATAGGAAGGATTATTTATAAAATAGGCCTATATGTTTGAACAGAATAGGGAAAGAAAATAATTAAAATTCAAGTTACATGAGGAAATGAGTAAGGAGGAAAAATAATCAAAGCTGCTTATTCCTCATTTACTACTATCCATGTGTATGCATGTTTCTAGTCATGTATGTAATTGGGAATGGCCTGAAAGGAAATGATCCGAGAGTGATTTTATTTTATTTATTTTATTTATTTTATTTTATTTATTTATACAGGCGTGACACACAGTTGTTCATACTGACTTTCATTTTATCAAGCATCCACCCAGAAAAGAAGCAATTCCTGGCTGCTCAGCAATAGGACAGCAAGGACTTAGGGACTAAAGTCACAAACTGAGTCAACACCTCGCTGACAATAAAGGCAGGAAACATCACTCCAGAACACAGTATTAAAAGCTCTAGTAACATTATAAGGCTCAAACACTACTCCTGTTCTAAAGGGAAACTGCTTGGTCCCCAGCCATCCTCACCTGCATGGAATCTTAGCAATAAGAAAAACTAAATTCTGGTTTTTCGTGTTTCCTCACCAGGTCAACTTCCCTCTCTACAGTGCAAGCTTTTTGACAAACGTAATAACATCCCAGCTTCTGAGTAAAACATAGTTTCACCAAAACATATTACCCAAGCGCATACATATAAATACGCGCATCTGTGAGACATCTGCATGTAAGTGAGAAGACCTACAGACAGCTGTAGTACTGGAAAGCCTGGACATAAATATTTGTTAGCACAGAGACATGAATTACTAAAGATGTATAGTATTTTATTTTTTTTTTGAGATGACAACAAATACAGGCAATAACTCAATCTAAGATTCCAATTTTTTAAATTCTTCCAAATCTTCGGGGTTTGGTCTCTACCACCTACCCAAATCTCATCTCTAAAAGCAAACACATAAACCAAAAATAACTCATTCTCCTCAAAGCACTTCTGCCAAGAGCCAATCTTATTTCTCTTGGACTCTCAGAGCTCTGAGCAAGGGCTGCTCCTACTTCACATTCTCAGGAGATCAAGCTTTGAAATAATCAGAAGGCTCTTGATCCTTACCCTTGCTAAGGACAGACTTTTGACACAGCAGTAAGTGTACATTAGAGCTTTCCTTTAAGTGTAGACCAGAGTGGTATTAAAGACAAATCTCTTTGGAGGCTGATGATTACACAGAAGCACTTCTAGACAAGGAAGCCCTCAAGCTGTAAGTGTTCAGAGGAGATGCAGCACGAGTACTCAAGAAAAGTATTATATACACTTCACCTCCCCATTTATATCATCTCAAAATTGTCCTTTTTGGCCACAGTAGACTAGAACTTATCCAAAAAAAAAACATTCTTCTGAGGAGCCTTCCTTGTCAATCACTATTGATGCTATTCTTGTTTCTTCATCTATACTTTTATCCACTTTCTCCATTTTTACCTTATCCTCCGCTTTTTCCTCCCATTTCTTTACCTCCTGTCATCTAATCCCTATCTCTGATCTCCTCTGTATTTTTGTCATGTGGATGATACTGATCTTTTCAGGCTGCAGCTTCTATTTCATACTTCAGGCAGAGCCATAGGACACACGTATTCACATTCCAAGATCACTGTCTCAAACCCGTCTGCAGCCTCAAAGACAAACTCACAACTACCGAAGAATATGCTGTCTGAATGAAAAAGATATAATGTAATGACATCTATGCAATAGTGTAATTCTCTTTTTAAGAGAAAAAAATAAATTAATAAATAAATTATAAAATGGTAATAATCAAAAATCTGGGGAAGGAGACAAGAAATAAAACAAGAATGTACCTTCCAGTATGCAAGACCAGAGGGAGGGGACAAAGGAAAAGCTGTACAAGATTTATTTCCCTTCCCTTATCCGAAAGGAACTCTCCACATTAAAATTTCAGGGAGTTTACTCATTTTTAGGGCAGAGGATTATACGGCAGCAGATTTCTAAGCATTCAGTTCATGCAAAACATACTAACTACAATAGAAGCGATGCCAGAAAACTGGCATCATCTATTTCAGATGTTGAGATAAGACAAACAGGAGCAAACATATTACCCTAAGTCATACCTATCATAGAAACTTGTTTACATATGATTCCTCAATTAAACATTTTCAAGTAAAAATCTTTGCAGCACGTAAAAAAATTCAACTGATCAAAAATTAGGATTTGTTTCCTTATAAAGTCGATGAGCTTGACTTCTTTTCCATAAGCCTTTAGCTGTGGTTATATCACAACATTACTCTACACTCAGGCTTAAATGGCTTTCCTAGCAAAAAAAGGTTTTAGATTTGATGACAGATTTATTCTAAAAGCAAATCTGTTCTTTCTCTCCAGAGAGACTTCAGTAACAGTCTGGATAGGAACCAACATCTGTATAGCACTACCACTGAGTATTAATGTACTAAATTCTCCCTACTCTACTGTTAGGTGATATTTAGACCTTGACCTCTATAAAAGTGCTTAAAAAGGAACTATCAATTTGTATCAAAATAACTACTTACAGGCATAGACTGCCACCTAGCGATTTTGATCATATACAGGAAAAAACACCAAAAAAAGATCTCCTTCTTCCAGGAGAGGAGAAAACAGTATTCATTCCTTCATATTTTACATCAACATATAGTAAAAACCTCATAATTTATCACATGTATCTCTTATGTTGATGGTAAATGCAAGAGTGCATAGTAAATGAATATTCTGTGATTCTTTAATGTGGAAAGAAGAGTCATTAAGCAAATGTAACGATCCATGTACAGGTAAGATCCATGAGATTGCCCGTTCACCAGTTCTATCTGGAATTCCTCCTTATTTTACACGGACTCTAGTCTTTGCATAAACAAGCACTGACTGCATCCAGAACTTACCTAGCCACTAAGACACCACTGATAGACAGCCACCCCTCTCAAAATTCTGGATTCCCTCAATTTTTGTGTTCTCAGTCTTTCCTGCTTCTCCTCAGCATTTTAACTATATTTTCAGTACAACCTCTAGTTCATTTTTGCTATTCCCTCATCAGCCACTGTCTGTTTTCTACAGGATTTCACTATTAGAATCATAGAACCATAGAATCACAGAATGGTTTGGGTTGGAAGGGACCTTAAAGACCATCCAGTGCCACCCCCTGCCCTGGGCAGGGACACCTCCCACCAGACCAGGTTGCTCCAAGCCCCATCCCGCCTGGCCTTGAACCCCTCCAGGGATGGGGCAGCCACAGCTTCTCTGGGCAACCTGGGCCAGTGCCTTACCCCCATCCTCACAGGAAATAATTTCTTCCTAAAATCTAATCTCAATATCCCCTCTTTCAGTGTCAAACCCTTCCCCCTCATCCTATGGCTCCCCTCCCTGATCAAGAGTCCCTCTCCATTTCTCCTGGAGCTCCTGGCAACCTGGGCCAGGCTCTCACCACCCTCACAGCAAAGAATTTCTTTCTAGTATCTAATCTAAATCTCCCCTCTAATAGTGAAGAAAGAAGCCGAGTTACCCGTGTCATCTTATCTGCCCTACAAAATTGAATTATCATTGTGTGAATGACTCCAAATTCACCTTATCTTCAGATTTTACTCTGTCAAAATCTGTATTTCAGATATTGCCTTCCTTTACTTATGGGCACTTCATCAACAGCGTAAAGAACTCTTACTTATTTTTCCTGTCAAACCTTCTCCACCCCTTTCTCTCTCAATCACTACAAACACCTTCAGTTCACTTCTGACATGGACCTAAGAGCCTAGGAGGTTTTAATTTGATTACAATAATTAAATGGGGCCACAATGCTGAATCTGGTCCAATTGCAGTTTAAAAAAAAAAAAAAAAACAAAGTTATATTGATAAAGTTAGTCAAAGAAATAGAAGACTCCTGAAGCTACATCAGCAGGTTATGAAAGCTTTGGAAGCTTAAATAAATGGTAACACGTTCAAAACTTTTTGTATTTCCAAGGACAGAAAGGAAAACAGGAGTCCCTTTACGAGACTCCTCTCCTACAAACCATGGAGAGGCGGAAAAGAACAGAGACACTCACATGAAAATAAATCAGAGTTAAGAGTTAACTCACCATATTTGTCTCGCAAGCCAACTGTACACCTGAAGACTCCACCAAAGGCCACATCTTCACCAAATATTACTGAAAAATAAGAATAGTAGAGGCAGCTAATGTTACTTCAATTCATCTCATTTTCAATGAACATTATTCAAAGCTTTTTATATGAGACACTACCATAAGTAGCACCTAACACTAACATTTCATTTTACTAAGCATTTCTCATGCAGTCTAACAAATAAAGACCTAAGGTTCATAAGGAATCAGCACAGCAACACAACTATGATTCAAAAGAGAATTCATGAATCTGATTCAGCTACGCTTTCATCAAGCCATCTGTTTATTTTTCTTTAATATTCTATAATGTCTAAATTAATACAAGCAACTCCAAGAAACAATTACATGAAATCACTACAAAGTCATTGCAGTTACATGTTCTGCTTCTGCTGGTAACTACTTGCATTCTTCATTCACAGATTTCAGTAAATGTTGTGTTTTGAAAAATATCAAATTGAAGTTTTCTTCAAAATACCCGTCCAACATCAAATTTCAAACCTTCTCCAAACATACTTGCCAGATCCCTGAAGGGAGACTCCAGAGGAGCCCCTCTACTTAAAAGATGGATGTCTAATAACAAGGACAACTCTCGGTTTTTAACATTTCTATCTTTACAGTGTGGGTGACATAGCCAATAAAGTTTTTTTAAAGTAACTGCCTTTAACATTCAGCTTCATATCAACTAATCTGGGAGGTTGGTCTTTTTTATTTTGAATATATGGAATGATGATGTCTAACTTTTCTTAAAAGTTTTATTTAATTCACAGAAATAAGTATGGCTCATTTCAACTTTTTTTAAGCATGTAAGAGATGTGCAACAATATCACCACCAGCAGCTTGCACGAAATGGGGTCAGTTCTGAGAATTCCCAAATTCCTCAATATTCTCCATATTCTGAAGGATGCAAAATAATGACTTAGCCTCTTTGCCTTTCAAATATTATTTTTATTTAAATGCAATATGTTTCTGATTGGATGTACAGAAAGGTATCATCACACTTCTCACATTTAACATTCAGCTTCATATCAACTAATCTGGGAGGTTGGTCTTTTTTATTTTGAATATATGGAATGATGATGTCTAACTTTTCTTAAAAGTTTTATTTAATTCACAGAAATAAGTATTGCTCATTGCAACTTTTTTAAGCATGTAAGAGATGTGCAACAGTATCACCACCAGCAGCTTGCACGAAATGGGGTCAGTTCTAAGAATTCCCAAATTCCTCAATACACTCCAAAAACCTGAAGGATGCAAAATAACGACTTAGCCTCTTTGCCTTTCAATTATTATTTTTATTTAAATGCAGTATGTTTCTGATCAGAAATACAGAAAGGGATCATCACACTTCTCACAATCATATTAATGACACCACTTAAAAAATAACTATATAATGAGGTAAGACCAATGCAGTCATGGAGTTTATAACTGAAGTATGTCCCCAGATCACCCCTCTAATTCATTTTTAATATTGATTTGTTTGCTTTTTTTATGTACTTAAATTCTTTGTATGGCCCTTCCATTACCATATGGCTACTCCCTTTTGAGCCAGCTGGCATTAAAAAAAGAAAAGAAAAAAAAAAAATCCCATTTAATGCTGGTATGAGCAAACTTGTGTGTATTTACTCCTTCTGTTCAGCCACTGAAAATATTTTCCTGGAAAAATTCTTAATTCTCATGAGCACGAGTATGAGGATTTCTACTACTTAAACAACAGTTGCTCAATTCCCATGCAACTAAAATAATAGGAAGGACATGCTTTCTATTGCAAGTATTAATTAATTCAGTAAGTAGAGTGATACCAACAACTCTTATCTCGACTGTAGAACTCCAACATGGTCTTGCAAAGATCCAGCCCTGCAAAGCTGAGGAGCAACACTGCAACCTTAGAGCGATGAAAAAGCTGAAGATGAGTTTAATTTCCTCCTGGACTAATGTCTGTCTTACTTTTATACAGCTGATCCTACAGAAATGATACTAAAATCTGCTCTTGGCACTGTTTTACCCTCAATTGTCCAAGCTTAATTTAATAAAGGTGATTATAACACAGCTGTAGATTGAGAGGGAATGTACACAGGCATAGTACTGGACAGACAACATGGAATTTGTCCTAACAGATCAGACAATTAGTCAGACTTCAAGTTGTGCAGTGGTTCAAGAAATGCCAGAAAGAGTTACTAACACGCCAAAAACAAAACCCCAATTTTACACAAGATCATACAGCTTTTGCAGCTGTGCTAATGACATTAAACCTCTCTTTTAGATATCTGGTCATCATCATGCCTTTGTTATGACAACAGAAGCAAGAGACCTTCTGTTATGTATAAGAATTCCAAGTGGAGCAAATAGTTTTGTGCAAGAAGAGTTTAGGATAACCCTTTTAAATCAAGCTATGATGAAACAGTTTCTCCTAAGTTATAGGTTGTCCAGATCACAAAAGCCTAGAAAATCTTATATTGTCTATGCACAATGATAAACTGATATCAGTAAAGCTGGAAAGGAATTTTGGAGGGTAGGGAAGGAGAGAATGAACAGAGCAAGGAATACATAAATCTCTAAAAAATACCACTTTTTGAGCACAGAGTGTTAAAGGAATTAAAAACTAAGATTTACATTTTAAAAGCTCCTTTACTTACTGGTGGGATTCAAGGTGCCCTTAAGTACAGTAATACCAGAAGCATGTAAAGCAATGTATATTTCTGTCCCAACTTTCAAGCAAAACACACCCAGTTAATACAGAAGACCTTTAAATCAACACATTTTTAACTTTTGTTTGAGATCAAAGTGTAGAAATAACCCATTGGAAAACTTTTAAGGGCCAGAAGAAAGGCTTTTAATATTGTACACAAACAGACAAAAGAGAATGCAGTTTATACCAAGGAAAACCCAAGTATATTATACCTGCAGTCGGATCTTTGGCTAAAGCGTTGTCCAAGGCACTTGTTATGGATTGGAAGAGATTCATCTTCTGAGTTTGCCCTGTGTGAAAGGGATTATTTAGCCATTTTATTTGGTTCAAAACAAAGTACATCAGAAAACACTGGTGCAAAACACGACTAAAAGCCTAGTTAACAGTCATAAATAGATCCCTATTAGCAGTACCCACGACTCATTTGGTAAATACTGAAATTATGGGACAGAAGGGACTGGGCACGCTATACTTTGCAATCCCAAGGGCTACAACTCTACTACCCTGCATTTCACCAGTTTTCCAAAACTATGCTCTTATCTAGAGCAAATGCAGCCTTGCAACACTTAGTCAAACACTAGCACAACGACTGATACAACAGTTTTTTGAAGATTTAGATCCTTTCTGTTAAGATTCACCAGATCTCATTAAGCTTACTTCATTGTTCTTTAATTATTTTTTTTAAAGCCCCAGCCTTTCCTATTTACAAATATCTATTATTATCACAAGCTTCCTAGACCACTGGCCGGATCAAATCCACACTCCAAGGAAAGAAAACTTAATGCTGAACATCTATACTTAAAATGGGTAAAGGAAATGCACCAGATTGGTGCATTAAAATCTTCTGCAGCACAGATTGAAAAAAAAAAAACCTTCAAAACCAAGAAAGGCTACAAGAGTGTCCCTCTTCATTCCAACACTGCAAGGGAAATCAAACAGGCCTGAAAGCAAAGAGGGAACAAAACAACAGTCCACTCCCCACTACTGCCACCACCTCAGATTCTCCAGTCAAATAAAATAATGCTTTATTAGAATCTGAGTGAATCAGACATTGACTGGCTGACATTTGGCAGCTCTATAACCAGCAAACCCTCTCTCTAAGTCATGACTAGGAGCCACAGCCCAGGAGAATACGACCTACCCCCGCTGCATGAAAAAAATAAAAAACAAATTAAAAAAAAAAAAGGTGATGGTAAGGTAAAGATCCCAGACACACGTGAGAACAGGTGTTAGAAATTAGAAAGGAAAACTACATTCTGTTTCCAGTAGCTACAGTATCTCTCAACAACCGTTCAGCCTCCTTTCCTCCTAGATTATTAATTAAAATTAGCATTTTTTTATTAAAGACTTATGTCATGCCACACCAGAGCTGAGCAGCTGCATTCCAACACGTTCCTGTGCTTGGCAGCACAGCCATGGGAACCCTTCACATTATAGCAAAGCTACAAATAATCAACATTTACAAATTCAAGGGAAGGAAAGCCAGGGAACAGCAGTTGTTTCTCTCCTTCCCAACTCATCCACATTAGTATTTAGGTTATTTTTTCCACAAGATACAATTCTTTTGGTATAAATAAATGCCTACTATTTAAGCAACCATCAGAAACTCCTCACACTGACTGTTCTGACCTGCTGCCCTTGTTTATAATAAAGGCCTCTGTATCAGCCCTCGAGGGAAAGGAGAAATTAATTGTGCCCTTCAGATTCCAACTGTGGAGTTGGAGAGCCATTATCATCACAAGATCAGTATGGGCATGTTTATTTCACTTTCGCTACTTTCCATCGAATTCAAAAGTATGTTTTAAATTAAAGGGAAATTGTTTTGTTTTAATAAATGGGAAAACAAACAAACAAACAAAAAAACCCAAAAAAAAAACTGCTCTGCCCCTAAAGCTAAAACTTCTTGACTGATCTCAAGCAGAGATGTGCAGCACCAGGGCTTCACTCCGCAACACCTTGGATGCCTGCACCTTCCCATGACTAACAGAAATTGACAAGAGCCTCCTCAGACTTAATGACGAAGCAGGAACACCAAGGTACCCAACTAAGCAACACCTTTCAAGGAGACAGCTTGGTTGACGTGAGAGAAACAGCTATTCTGTAGCTGGCAGGCTTCTTCCAGGAGGGCTCCGCACTAGTCATCTCAGAAATAAAGTCAAAACACCAACTTTCACCCCGAGCTGTTCAATTCCAACTGCTGTGCGTTTACTCTCTGTCGTGTCATCACGGGGACGAGCTCAAACCTTTCACTAGGCAGGACTTTTTGTTAATCACAGGTCTGTCACCACGTCGATGGCTTCAGCAGGCAATAAACAAATAGAATCATAGAATGGTTTGGGTTGGAAGGACCTTGAAGATCATGGACTTCCAACCCCCTGCCCTGGGCAGGGACACCTCCCACCACACCAGGTTGCTCCAAGCCCCATCCAGCCTGACCTTGAACCCCTCCAGGGATGGGGCAGCCACAGCTTCTCTGGGCAACCTGGGCCAGGCTCTCACCACCCTCACAGCAAAGTTCTTCCTGAGATCTCATCTCAATCTCCTCTCTTTCAGTTAAAACTGTTCCCCCTCATCCTATGGCTCCCCTCCCTGATCCAGAGTCCCTCCCCATCTCTCCTGGAGCCCCTTTGGGACTGGAAGGGGCTCTAAGGTCTCCCCGGAGCCTTCTCTTCTCCAGGCTGACCCCCAGCTGTTCATTTCCAGCTGCTGTGCGTTTACTCTCCGTCGTGTCATCACAGGGACCAGCTCAAACCTCTCACTAGACAGTGCTTTCTATTAATCACAGGTTTGTTACCGGGCTCAGGGCTTCCGCAGGCAATAAACAGACAGGAGTGGCTGCAGGTCATTAAGTCGCTGCTAGAAGTCACCGCCAGAGGCTTTACCGCTGAGAGAGGCGAGGGGCAGGGGAAGGGCTTCCACCTCTGGGCTGATGATGGGTGACCCCATCGCAACTATTGCGCTGACCCCCCAAAAACACTTCACCACCCCCTCACCCCCCCACATCCCCTCAGCGGTCCCGGCCTGGCGCCAGAGGCCTGAAGCGCCCCCACCCGCGGCCCAGGGGGGCCCTTCACCCCTCCACAGCCAAAGCCTTCCGCGGAAACACCCGCGGGTGGAAGCGGTGACGACACAACGGGGGAAAGGAGCCCAGGAGGAGGCCGCAGCCCCGGGGTCTCGCCCCCAGCGCTGGCTGCCCCCCCAACACCGGGGACACCCCGGCCCCGCCGCCTCAGCGGGACAGGGCGGCCCGAGGGGGCGGGAGAGGCAACCACCCACCCTTCTCCCTTCCTCCCTCCCCCCAAGCGGGCGGACCCGGCAGAAGAACGAGGTGGGGTGGACCCCGGCCTCGGCCCGGCCCTCCCCGGGCTCTCACCGTAGGAGCTGGGCGCCGGGTCCGGTTGGAAAGCGAAGTGGGCCGCGGACCGGCGCGGCGCTGCCGGGAGTGGGGAGGCGGAGGGCAGGTGGCTCCAAAAACACCCCCCGCCGGGGCGGCGAAGCGCTGTCGGCCCGGAGGCCAGCGCCC